ACACACACACACACACACACACACACACACACACACACACACACACACCACACAGTTTGTACATAGCAGTTTGCATGTTGTCTCCCCCATTAGACTGTGAGCTCTTTGAAAGTAGGGACTGTCTTTAGCCTTTCTTTGTATCCCCAGTACTTAGCTCAGGGCCTGGCACATAGGAAGTACTTAACAAATGTTTATTGCTTGACTGACTCAGAAAGAATTTGATGTAATACATTGAGCTCAGTCAAGGACAGGGAGAGGGGAATTAAGAGAGAATGTAAATTTACAGAGAGATTAGTCATAAGCAAAACAAACCCAATTTTCAGAGAGCATAGCATGAAAGAGAGATTAAAGGAAAGAAAGACTGAGAACACGTGAGTGGAGACACATGAACATAAGAGGAAGAAAAGTGGAACAGCAGAATGGAAGAAGACTGAATCAAATACAGATCACTAGTATAGAGTACTTTACTTTCTTAACACTCTTTTGTAAAGAAGGTGGCAGGGGCCAAAGACAGGAAAAGGACAAAAGGATCAGATGGAGGAAAATATACAACTAACAATTGTAATTGTGAACACATGAGATAAATTCACTTATAAAACAAAAGTGGGTAGCAGAATGAATTAGAAAGCAGAATACAACAATATGTTGACTACAATAAGCATACCTGAAACATAAATATTCACACAGAATTAAATAAAAGGCAAGAGTAAAATATACTTCAGATGAACTAAAAAAAATGGTAGCAATTATAACCTCAGGCAAAAAAGATTTGATTAAAATAATTAGGGGAATTATATTATGTTCAAAGGCACCATAGACAATAAATTACTGTCTACATATGCACTGAATATATACGTACTGAATGTTATTGCATCTAAATATGAAAAGGAGAAGTTAATTGATTTATAAAAGGAAAATAGTAAAACTACAACAGTTGGAAATCTCAACTCTCATCAGAACTAGGCAAATCTAACCAAAAATATATGAGATGTCTGGAGATTACTGAAGAGGAGAAGCAAGGTCTACCTATATTTAACCATGTGTGGCAGTTTTACAAAAACTGATGGGTATTCTGATAGGGATGGGATCTAGGCCCCAGAAAGAAAAACCCCTGGACTTTCCCACATGGCCAAATCTCTGGCGTTTGCCTGAGGCTATAATCTCATCAACTGGCCTTTCATTGTGGCTACACCCAATCTCCCCTCCATTGTTTTACCTCCCAATGGCCCCTTTCCACACTTAATCCTAGCTAGGCTCCATTGTCCAGGTCCCAGGAGTTCTGTTCACCTCAGTTTACTGGCCACTCCCATCTAGATCTCCTTAGGCCCCTCCTCCCGTCATCCCAAACTACTTGGCCACTCCTAGATCCCTCCCAAAATCTTTCTGTATATCAGGTCCATCTTGTCTCCATTAAAATGCTCTGATTCTTATAATCGAGCCACTGCACAGATTTTCACAATCTAGCCAATAGCCCACAGATGCTCAGATTCCTTAAGAGTCTAGCTAATATGGCCAATCTTCAATAAACCTTGTTTTTGGCTGAAAGAAGGCTTAGGTTGAATTCTTTCGGGCATGACTCTCTCCTGTCAGGATTTTGGGATGCCAAGACCCCTAACCTCTAGACCTCATCAATTCTAGAGAACAATAATCTCATAGAAATGAGCATATATTATTTTGGATATGAACAATGTGTAGATTTGTTTTTGAGAAAGGAATTATAATTTTCATATTAATATGATATATGTAATGAATATACAAATAATTTCATTTTCTCAAGAACTGCCTCTCTGGCTTGGGAGTCAGAGCTCACAAAGCAGCTTAAACTAATTAATCAAAACTCTTACAACACTCAATCACTGGACCTTAAGTGAAGCGAATCAAAGATTGTAGAACCTATTTCTGTCACAGAATTCTGGTTCTGTACTCTAGGGAAGGTGGTCACGACCCTCAGAGACTTGACTCCAGAATTGTTATATTGTAGGATTTGTGGGTTTCTGGAGGGAAATCACTAAATAATTGTAATCCACTTCCCACCCCCACCCCCCTTCCCCACTAGTGATTTAAGTAAGTGCTTTTACTTCAGCTAAGAGAACATTCCTCACTCTAAAATTGATTAATTAAACTACTTGATTACTGGCATTCATGTCTCTAGGCCTACTTTGTGTGACTCTGGGCATTCTCAGGTTGGAGATTGGCTCAGGATTTTTATTAAATGTTTTACCAAACATTTTCTTTGACTGTGATATTTTTCTTTTTCTTTGATGAGGTGGGGTGATTAAGAAAGTGGGGAGGTAGCAAGCATCCCCCCAAAAAGAAACATGTAGTGTTTTAAAAGCACAGAAGAGAACAGAGGCAGGCGCCGTTTTGCCTGTGTCCCCAACCCTTTGCAGAGCTTGGCAAAAGTAAGAGCTTAATAAATTCTTGATTTCAGTCCAGATGCAGCGGACCTTTTGAGTACCCTGGTGGGATATGTTTTTTCACTTTTTAAACCAGATTAGATTAATAGCATACTACTAATGCTTTAGTCTTTACAAAGCGCTTTTCTCACATCAGTCCTGACATTTGATATTTTAAAAGGACAACTTTATATTGAGCACTATTATTTGCAGGAGTGAACAAAAAAGGAGAGGAAGAATGCAGGGATAGGGTGGAGGGAAAAGGGAAATGTGAAAAAGGATGAAGAAAGCAGCTTGGTCTTGAAGGAGTTGCCTGGAAGCTCACGCTTGTTTTTCGTAATTGCCGCCAACGGCATCGAGGCTCCCCTAGGCTACCGTCCCCACCCCCTCACCCCCTTCTGCAAGTCTTTCCATTCCATTGCTCAGTAGGAAAAGAAAAGGATACAGCAGCGGAGCCCGCCCATGCCAGGGAGAACCACGGTTCTACTTCCGGCAGGGCTAGGCCGCTCTTCTCTACTCCTCCCGAGATCTGGTCTCTTCTCTCTAAAAGCTTTCTTCGGACTCAGGTCTCCATACACCAATCTGAGGACTTGTTACAGGGCGAGACCCAACCCACAGACGAATATCTGGTTCGAGCTCCCCGCCTCCGAGTCACGTGGGATCTTGGGGGAGGGGCCTTTTGCGAGGAGAGTTGGCCGCTGTGGCGGAAGGAGCGGAGCGGGGTGATGGCGGGTGCCGCTAGACGCCTGCTGTGCGAGGGAGGGAGGGAGTGCTCTTGGGCGGTGATGCCGTAGATTGAAAAAGGACTTAGAGGGAATTGGCAGCCAGCGCTAGGGGGAACTGGCGTGAAGAAGACGACGAATCAGCTTCGATGCATCAAAGGGCTTCCTTTGCTTGATGGGCGCTTAGCAGTCGCTTGCTGGAGGCGCTGAGGTCGGCGGGTGTGCAAAGCGTTTCTCTCATCCTTATTTCCCTTCTCCCGACGCCTAGGTTTGGCCTTCCACCTCGTGTAGATTCTATTTGGGAAAATTTGTCCTCTTTCCTTTTCCCACAATGTGGAGCAGGGACAGGGCAGTAGCTGCTCCGGACAGGCTTCGGTCGGAGGTGTCCGGCGCGGAGAGAGTCCTGGCTGTCACCGACCAGCTTCTTCCTTCTCCCTCCTCATCCTCCACCTCTGCCCAGCCCATGGCACCGCTAAGCGTCCGAAGCCGGGAGAGTGGCTCTAAGATCCAAGTGGTATGTTTTCCTCATTCCAGTGCTTTGTTTCTTGGGCTTCAGGTGAAGAAATGAAAGAATCTCCCATCACTTACCTAATATTAACCTCTCCTGCCCCTTTGCTGTTTCAGTCGTGTCCGACCCTTCGTGACCCCGTTTGGGGTTTTCTTGGCAAAGATACTGGAGTGATTTGCCATTTCCTTTTCCCGCTCTTTTTACAGATGAGGAAACTGAGGCAGCCAGGGTTAAGTGACTCGTCCAAGCTCACGCAGCTAGTGTCTGAGGTCGGGTTTGGATTCAGGTCTTTACTCCGGGAGCTCTGTCTGCTTCGAGACCTGTCTGTCTTCTCCTGCCCTTTATTTCTTTATTTCTTCTCTTAAGATAAAGAAGGTTAAAAAAAATAAAGTTTAAGGATGGTTTTAGTGAATTAGAAGAACTAGGACTGATGGTGATATTTCTGAATATAATAACATGTTTCTGAAAATATGCAGTAATAGTTAATGTTTATGAAAACCTTACATATTATCTCATGTAGCCCTTAGCAACCCTGTGAGGTAAGATGCAGTGATCATCCTCTTTTGTATGGAAACTGATATTCAGGGAGGCTAAGTGACTTTCTCATGAACCTTCAGCTGGTGTCAGGTGGGTTTGGACACCAGATCATCTTGACAAGTCCAGTGCCTTTTTTTCCCACCATACCAGCCAGTTTCTCGAGTGTACATATGTATATACTTAATAACTTAAAAGATGCCTGATTTCATTGGTGTGAATATTCCCTCTACCACACATCACTACTTATACATTTTAGATGAACTTTGAGAATTGCTGTGACTGTAACATTTATCACCCTGTGATCAGCTCCCAATTTATAGCTGAGTCAGATTTTCTAGGATGATAACCCTGGGATGATAAACTGGCACTAAAAGTCTTTCTGTATTGGTAGGTTCTGACAGTTTTAAGCATAACCCTCCCAAAGAAGGTAAGGACTTTTTAAAGTCAAGCTGAGTAATTAGACTTGGACTTTAACTGACACATATGTGCCATATTTTTAGCTGTCGATTTAGCTTGTCTCCTCTGAGATTGTAAGATGCTTGAGGGCAGACAAGTTTTTCTGGGACTGCCAGCCCTGCAGCCTAGAACCTTTTAATACTGGTGGTCAGTGAATGTCCCACACTACTTCCACTCCCTTATCCCTAATATCCTCCCCTACCCCCGACAGTAAACACTAACTTTTTAGTCTAGAAATCAGGAGACCTAGGATCTAGGTCTGCCTGGAGCAAGCTCCCTTCTTCCTAGGTAGATACATAGATGAATCTGATCAGTTCGCATAACTTCTCAGTTTATTTGATTTTTAATTTTTAGTTATTTATTATTTTATTGATTTTTTAAAAACATCTTCATTTCCAAATATAGCCCTTGTCCCTCTCCTGCCCTAAAAAAAAAAACTACAAGGTAGCTCAAAACCAACATCTATCAATTGTGAGACAATATATGTGATATTCCAACCCATAGCCTACCCACCTTTGTAAAATAGGGAGGAAGGTGCATTTTCTCAACTCCTTTGTGGTACCAAGTTTGATCATTATAATTTATAACCTATTTTAAAAAGCATTGTGCTGTTAATATGTGCCTGGCTTTCTTCATAGGATTGTTATCAGGATGATTTCAATTCAATTCACCAAACACCTATTTAGTGTTTACTGTGTGCCAGTGTGCTAGATGCTATGCTAGATCTGGGTATAGGCAGAGAAAAGGAAAACATTATCTGCTTCCACGGAGCTTATGTTCTAGGCGGGAAGTGATACATCCGTAAACAAATATATACAACATTAAAAACAGGTGATTTTTGGGGTGGATAGTAATATCTAGGGGGAGATCAGGAAAGTCCTCTTGTGTCAAGCATTTATTAAGCTTCTGCAATGTGCTATGTGTTCTAGGGATACAAAGAAATGAAACATCCTACCCTTAAGGAGCTTCTGTTCTAATGTATGTATCTAAATATATACAAAAGAATTTTCGGTGATCAGGTAAGATGTTTGAGGTAGGAGGTAGCATTTGAGCTGAGCTTTGAAGGAAACTAGGAATTCTAGCTGGCAGAGATGAGGAAGTGCATTACAAGCATCATGCACAGGCTTTTTTTCCTTTGAGGCTTTGCTTGTAGATATTCTCATGTCATTGTCTTCTTTATGTCTTGCCCTTCTCTGTCACCATAGTAGCTTTTTACAGTCAAGGGTTTTTTTAGGGGGGGGAGGGGTTTTGTTCATTTTTCTAGCCTATTAATTTTGAACTTATGTTACAGTTGGGCTTTCCTCATGGGAGTGGAGGGTGGGTCACTGTCCCAAACTTCAGGCTTTTTTGCTTTGGTGTTTTCACAGCTAGTTCTAGACAGTATGAAAGTTTTCTGTGCTGACAGAGTCGTGTGATCTGGGAAGGTGTGGTCACTGCTTTCCTACTCTGAGTTCTTGTCCTTACCCAGGTAGAGACTCTTGCAACTTTAAGTGCTAACTCTTCTCCTTCCTGAGACAAGATGTTTGCTCCCTTGCAACAGCGAGTATTCCTCTCATTTCTGGAACTGTGACCTGGAACTAGATAGTGGGCAATGGTGTTGTCAGACCCCTTGTCCAGTGCCAGTACAGGGGTCTCTTGTAATCTCTGACTAGTTGTCCAGTCCCTTAGGATCTCTGGGGGGGTTAGGGTTTCCGAAACTGCTGCTGCTGCTTTTGCTTGCAAGGCAAAAAAAGCTGCTGTTTTCAATACTTTGCGCTCCCAGCCAGCCCCAAACCCAGTGTCACAGACCTCTCCTTCCAACCTCCTAAATTGTGTTGGGCTGGGAAATTGTCCCACCCTTACCTTACCTTATATCCCTCCAGAATTTGAAACATTATTTTAAAGTTGTTTGAAGGGGAATGTTGGGAAAGTTTGGCTTGAATACTGCCTCTGCTCTGTCCTCATGGCTCTGAACCCCACTTTTGGATAATTTTTAATTGCTGGGAATTAAAATAAATTGCTCTTAATAAAACCCAAGATTGCATTAGGTTTTTGCTTTTTTGGTTTTTTGTTTTTTGTTTTGCTTGACTCATTGCACTGCAGACTCACACTGGGTTTACTTAGACCTTCTACATGTATTTGTCCTAGTAACCCTCCCCATCTTGTACTTATTCTTGTATTTATGAAGTTGATTTTTTTTATACCCAAGTTCAAGACTTCACATTTTTTATATTGAGTTTCATCTTATTAGATTTAGCCTATCAAGATCTTTTTGAATCCTGACTCTCCTTCAGTGTATTAGTTTATCCTTTATAGCTTTATGTCATGTGCATATTGAATAAGCATACCATCTCTACCTTGATCGAAATCAATGATTAAAAGTTAAACAGCACAGGGCCATGCACAGATCCTTGGTGGTATTGAATGAGACTTCCTGAAATGTTAACATTGAACCATTAACAACTTTTTTTTTCAGCCAAAGACAAGGCTTATTAAAGATCCGCCATATTAGCCAGACTCATGAGGAATCTGAGAGTCTGTGAGGTATTGGCTAGATTTTAAGAATTACCTTAATGGAGACAAGATGGACCTTATCTACAAAAAGACTGTGGGAGGGATCTAGGAGTGGCCAAGTAGTTTGGGGTGACTGGAGGAGGGATTTAAGGAAGACTTGAATGGAGTCACCAGTAAACTGGGAGTTGGGTGAACAGAACTCCTGGGACTTGAACAGTGGAGCCCTAGGATTAAGTCTGGGAAATGGCCAGGGGCCATAGGGAGGGCTAGGCTACGTTAAGGGTAACAGAATTGGGAGATTGAGTGTAACCACAATGAAAGGCTAACTGATGGAATTATGACCTCAGGCGAACGCCAGATTCGGCCATGTGGGAAAGTCCAGGGTTTTTCATTTTGGGGGTCTAGATCCCATCCTCATCATTCCCCCCTCAAACAAATGGGACCCAAATTCTTTTGGGGTAAGGGGCGAAGGTCTTGGCTTCTGAAACTACTTCCTGCTGGGAAGGGGCTTAGAGCTTTCTCTGCCTCAAGGAGGTCCCAAAGAGGAGGTTGACTGGAACCAAGCGCAGGTTACATCCAGGAAACAGTGAGGAGACATTGGCTGGTACCCATTGTTTGCTGCGAATTGTAGATGAAATGGCCTGTACACAAATCTGACAGAAAAAAACAAACTGCAGGGCCCAGATGACAGGATAAAACATCCTTAGCTGTGTTTGGATTCAGTTAATTCACTTTTCCAACCATGCAGTATCAAATCCACCTCATAGCCAGACTGAGGAATAGCCAGGTAACATTCCCTTTCAAAGGAATATCATGGGGAAACTGAGCCAGGAGGATCCCATCCTAGACTAAGGCTAAAATTGTCCTCTCAACTTTTTCCCAGTGTTGACCTCCCACCCGTATCACATTCTGAGTAGCTTGTAGCATTTCTCTCAGGTGGTAGATTGATTATTGATGATCCATCAGAAAACTCAAAGTAAAATCCTAGTTTTACCTCAAACAACAAGTTTCATTAATTACAGCTTAGGAAAAACTTCCAGGATTTACATCTCAGACTTAAATTTGTCCTGGTGTAAAAAGTCAATCATTAGAGATTTCTGTACACTTGCAAATTCTTAGCAAGCCATACATAACCCAGACAAGCTTTTTGACTAGTTTACACATTAAAACAATAACCAACAATAGCCAAATTATTTCAGTGGTAACCAAATTATGAAAAGTTGCTTGACTTAACTGATACAAAAAGTTCACCAATTTGAAACTTGAAACAAACCCATTGCCAATCAGGTGACTTCAATTTTGTTAAATGCATTTCCAAATTACACAGAGAATCAACATCTCGTCATTAACAAAACTACAAATTTAAAAGAGCATGCTTACCCAAGTTAGGAGGCTAGCTTCTTTACCTTGAGCAGGATGTGCTGAACCTGAGTGATGTTTCTAGGCAAAGGTTGACCTAGGGCCCAAGGCCATTGCCAAGTGGGCCCATGCTGTAGCTGCTGCCCCTCCCCCCTTTCTTT